AGAGAGAGAGAGAGAGAGAGAGAGAGAGAGAGAGAGAGAGAGAGAGAAGTTTTTTAAAATATGCTTTCCATCCCTTTAGTATCTGTTAACGGTGTTTTTATCGCTTTCCAATAAGAGGACTGGAAAAGGCACTACCAAATTTCTATATAAAACCAGCGCATCCCCGCTCCGCTGTTGGCTGCACCGCGATTTATCGTGTTATTGATAAAATAAGAGAAGATTTATGTATTCCAGGACTATATCTTTACAAAAGTCCGATGGCCATCATTGACCACACAAAATCCAAATGAGGTAAGAAAGACATGAATCCATATCTAAGATAAAAAGCAAATTCATATCGATCTCCTCGTTATCGGTTAGTTTTTATAACAAATTGAAAAACCACTTAGTCGATGACCCGATATTATGAATATTTTCTCTACTTTGCTCCCGCTCTTCTTCTTTAATAGTAATATATATGTAGTTTTTGTTTATTCGCTATGATTGTATGATTGATTGTCTTTATTCGTAAAGCACAAAGCTTTACATCATTCATGAATTCTGCTATACTCTGCTATACTCAGTTGTACTATATCAGTGACAAAGGCATGAAAGAAGAAAATAATGTTGTATTCGCTTATGGGCGGAATTTTTTTAGTATCCATTGTAATAAAGTCTTCGATATTTCATTGCAAGGTTTATAAATTCCATACATTGTCTAGGAAGTACCATGAAATGCACACATTTTCGCAAAGGTTGGCAAGCCAAGCAAACAAGTACAAGTAGAATTGATTTAAAGTAAGCCAAAAATCATATTTATTCACTTCGACTTAGCTGTGCCAAATAGCACTTTAAAATCCAGCTCATGGCTAAAAAACTAGAACTGGACAAGAAAAATCTTTACTGCATTAGTAATTTGAAGCGACATGACGAATTTTCGAAATAAGCCTGACAGAAATGATGAAAAGATCAAAATAGATCGATATGATTAATTGGATTTCGTAATTCATCTCGATCGATATATACATAGACTTAATGGTCATATGGGTTCCGAAGCATCTATCTATCTAGGTCTTATCAATATTCGATATACTGTAATCTATATGAAATTGATGATTGATTATTTTTTTGAATACTAATGATTAGTGAAAACATTGGAAACGATTATTCTTTGACTTCATACAGACATACAAAAATTGCAACTATTAGCAATGTTTAATTTACAGGAACGTGATAGACATAAAATCGACTTAAAAAACAATTTAATTTGTTCGCCACTAAAATTTTGCTAATTAAAATTTCATACCTTTTTTGCTATAAATATAAACACAAACACACACACACACACCCACCCCTATAAAATTCGAACTTTATGCTGCCTATTTTCATTCCTTTTATAGTAGATTATATGAAAAACTTTTAATAGAGTTTAGGTGGTTTTAAAATTTAGTTAATTTAGAACGTAATTATGTAATATTAATTTTGTGCGGTTTTTTATGAATTTTAGACATCAAAAGTTATTAGTTCACTAAAAATGCAATTGAAGGAGCAATTAATTGCACGTGCTATGAATAGCAAATATTTTTGTTTTTTTTTTTTTTTTCATTTTTGAAAAACGTATTTGAAAATTTAAATCATTGCCTAATTTCATGCCTGCTGCAATTGAAAGAACAACATTTAGACATAAATAACACGTTTATTACTTTCTCATTTATTTCTACATTTGCAATCAATCATTTGCTATTAATAACGTGTTAGCCTACATTGTTAGCCAAATTAAGTCGGAAGTTCCCTTTTTCCAGTGACGATATTTTTTGGATAATTTGCATAAGAAAGAAAGAAAAGACGAAGTTTGAAAGTCTGTCTATCTACTCTTCTTCTCTCCTGATATCATTGATACAAAGTAGGCAAAGGCAAGCGTAGTACCGTTACATGGCTAAGTAAGCACAGAACCTTAATCACTCGGTATCCCAATCGAAGAATACAAAATTGAATGAAAAAGCCACCGAACTGATCACCAAGTGATCAGTGCAAAGCAATCAAAGTGACACATTTGCTAAAAGCTTTATAGAATAATGCAGAGTTGCATCCCATCTTTTAATTGCGCATCTTACAGGCTGCTAGAGTACTTTTTTGTCTTGTTACAAAAAAAAAAAAAAAAAAAAAAAGCACGATGCTTGAAACTCCTTTCAGTTTGCGCGAATTGACTGGGATGAGCAGGACACGGACAGATAAGTTTTAATACGCTAGAGGACAATCAAACGCGGAACTTTCTTCGCCCAAACCAAGAAAAGTGCTGATCAGCTGTAATGTGATATACTTGATATAATCAATTAATTTTTTGCTTACTAAGATTAAGTTATACTAATGTCGAGTGAGTATATTAAATACACTATCATCCCCTTAAGATTCTAACCTAAATTAGAAGGTGATTTGCTGCTCATCTCAAATTTCTGAAAAGAATTTCTTTGAATTCATTTTTTCAGATTGAACTTGTAGCATCTATCATAACGAACAATATTGTGATTTCTCCCCTTTAGAGAGGTCTTTTCAGCGCTTTCAAGAGAATGCGCAGATTATAAAAATTGGACATGGTACTATTGTACAAAAGTCAAAAAGCGAGGACCAGAAGGCAAGTGCCAGGTCGCTATCGGTAACAAAATCAAATCGGGCAATATAGGGCAATATAGCTTTCGTTTCCCGTTCGAAAGAAGAGCACTTCTCAATAATAAATAATCGGATGCATCATCCACATCAAATTTCAAAGGTTTTACTTTTTTTGCATCTGCGGCAGATATAGATAAACTGCATTGAGGAGCATTGTAAATAGATTTTCAAATTTCCTGATAATAGATATTAACATTAACGACTGTTCATTCAACGGTATATGAATTATCCAGTCAGTCAGTCAACTTGAATGCTCGAAATCCAATTTAAAACCACGTACGACTTTCTTGAGCTAATCTTCTTCGCGTTTTTAAAATCATAAGTTTGCCGTAACGTAATTCTTGCGGTTCAACTACTTTATGCATAAATTTATTAATTTTGAATTTTCACCCAAACTTTTCCGGTATTATATATATACATACATATATATATATATATATATATATATGCATGCGTATATATGCATGCGTATATCATATAGGCAAGTGTTTCAAATAAAAAAGTTAAGGCTTTGCTACAATTCTTCGCCTCTTATAGCTTATACTACTACACTTTATTCAGCAGTGTGTTGCCAGTTAACAAGACTAGCCAGCACCACCACCACTTGCTTATCATGTGATAAATGTAGTTTTTCGTACTCAATTCATGAATAATTTAAGGCGAACGTATATGAAATCCTATAATAACAAAATAACTTTAACGTTCAGTTTAGCGAAAAGAACTAAAAAAAAAAAAAAAAACAAAAAACAAAAAAAAACCTGAAAGCGAAGGTAAGTGAACATACACATAAACGCGCAACGAAACAACTAACATTGGTATGGCAGGCAGTGTAAAAGGAGCTCGCAATTGTGGAGAAGATATTGAGAGCAAATGAAAATAGAAGAGTGCACCGAACACATCCTAACTGCTTTTATATAAGCATTGTCTGGCATGCAATTGGCTTATTTCAGCTTCAAATGCTGTAACAAACTTATAACAGACCATTTGAGAAATGTAACATTTGTATAACAGTGCAGCAAAATGGAAATAGAAATAGAAATGGAAGTGGAAGTGGAAGTGGAAGTGGAAATGGCAAGGAGTACGTGAAAGAGAAATAAAAGTACGTACTTTGTATTCGATGAAATGGCAAATAGCGGGTAATTTTCGACTCGTTTATATTGTATATAACAAAATGGCCAATTTTTATGAATATTTTATAAGACTAAATTTAAACTAAACGTTTTCGAATGATTAAGAGCAGCCTTTTAAACGGCAATGAAGAGCAATAGACAAACAGAATAAAAAATGACGAAGAGAGACAGAGACAGAGACAGAGACGGACAGAGATAGTGAGGAAGAGGGAGAGAGAGAGAGAGAGAGAGGGAATTTTTTATTGAAATAAAAAAAAAAAAAAAAAAACAAAAAAAAAACTTTAAAAAAAACAACAAAAAAATTAGTGGGGGGGAAAAAAAAATTTTAAAAAAAAAACAAAGAAAAAAAAAAAAAAAAAGAAAATGTGAAAAACTCGAAATAACATTTCGGAAACTAAAAGTCGAAGGCGGGAGTTTCTTTTTCTTTTTTTCTCTATTTTTTTTAACAACCTGTCAATTAACTGCACATAGCGTAGATTTACACTTACCAAATTAGTAGGATTCTTGCTGGCAAAAGTTGATTGAGTGAAACTGCAAAAGAAACAAAAAAAAAATTAAATAAATAAAAATGAAAAGTTAAATAAAAAATTCTTTTTTTTTTTGTTTTAGAAAAATATTTTTACATAACCTTAAAGTTTTTATAACATAACTTTTAAACTTATGCACAAAATCCTAACATAAAGTAAAGCATATTATTTGGAACTTCGAGAGGCGGAAATTCAAACGGTTCTGAATACTCGATTTTAAGTTAAAAATCTGCTTCTTTTTTTTTGGTTTTGTTTTTGTTTTCATTATATACCCGCCACTGTAAGATGGGAAAGTAGCCATTTTGCCTTTTTTCCATATTGTAGGTAAAACTCAAAAGGAAGCTGCAGAGACCCATTAGAGTTAATCTAGCCATATAAGTCTGTCTGTCCGTCTGTCCGTCTGTCTGTCTGTCTGTCTGTGTGGTGTTCGTTGTTGGCACGCTCCAGGACGCGAAAATGAAGATAACGACCTAAGATTTCATAGAAACATTGGCAGATTTCGCACGCAGGTGGGCATTGAAAATGGGCCCGCAGTTGAGCATAAACTGAACACAACTTCGTTTTTCTTAACAAAACTTTCTAGTCTTTTGCTCGTTACTCAGAAAGAAAGGCTGAAATTTTCCATATTTAATTTACGAAGCACCCTACTCCTTACATGTAAAAGTTGAAAAAATCGGCGATGACCTCACAAACTTAATTTTTGTAAGGTATTATGCTTATTAACGTTAAGTTAGACAAGATATAAGATTTCAAACTACTTTGCACAATCGCTAAGTGAAGATATATTATCTGGATAAAAATGGGTTAACTCTAAAATGAATGGTTAGGCACCGCGATCAATATTTTCGATATGAGTATTAAATAAACACTCTTGGAAAGTAGAATGCCACAAGCATAGTGTTGGATATTCGGCCCTCGCCGAATAAAACTTTCCTGCTTGTTTCTTAATCTTCTTTCAACTTGTTATAGGTTAGTAAATTTAATTTATTTACTTGATCCTTACGAAATTGTCTAAAGACTACATAATTCAATCCATGAAATTGCAAAGTATTTCAATGCCTTCAAGATAGTTATATAAAATCCTTGCAGTAATTAATTTTTATTAGGATTTCCAGAAAGTTTTTTTGTTTTTTTTCGCAACAATGGATTTAATTAAGTGCATATTTAATAAGCCCTTATTAGAGCTATGTAAAGGCCGTAACGTGTCTTTCTTAAATATTTAAAATTGAGATGTAGTTGAATTTAGAAGCCTACTCCATTCATATTAAAATGTGTAAAATATTTTTGTGCCTCCTACCTCATCAACCCATATGAAAATACCTTCCAAAACCAAGCTAAACAAACTCAAATTTTGCTTAGAAGAATTTTTTTTGATATTTGATATGTTTAGGCATAAAAAAAACCACCCAAAAAGTAGGCTTCCGAATCCCTGTTAGGATGTTTAACGATTATTCTCTGGTAAAAGAAGTAGTGGATGCCATTGCTAATTAAATACGCATTGACTTCTCTGAAGAGATAGTTGTCGTCGGGAAAAGTACAAGTAACGTCTTAGTTAACCTGTAGCTTACTTTTAGGACTCATTTACATAAGACTTATACACTGACGATTATTTCATCTAGTAATAAAACTCATTTCCCACGCGATTTTTCAAGACGAAACTATTCTAATGCATCGTAAGTCTGTCTAGCTTAGGAGAGGCTTCCTCTTGTTGTTGTTGTTGACAATTTATGGTTTTTAATCTCTATCTTTTTATATTTTTATTTTCTTTCTTAATTACGCCATCATCGACGACGATTAGTTTTGTTATTGTGAAATTTTGATTTGGTCGATCGACCCGCCTAGTGTTATAGTTAAAAAAAAAAAAGGAAAATTTAATTAATTGAAACAATTTCAATGACTTCATTAATAATTTATGATCTACAGTACAGAAACACATATACACATACACACACACACACACACACACACAGGTATCTTTATGAAATGTAGCTTTAAGGTGTACATTATGGCCACCTTAAAATTTCGTATATTAGTAATATTAGTCTAATAATGGGTGCAGTCAAGTTTCGTCCCAAGGCGATTATAGCTTTCTTACTTGTTTTTATTTGGGGTTTAAAAAAAAAAGAAATACTTTTAATTTAAGCCTCTTATGCTGTCTGTTGTGTCTGTTCTCCTTCTTTTTTTTTTTTTTTTTTTTATATAAAAAAAGACTGGAAAAAGCTTCTGCTCTAATTGTCATTATATATATATATATATATATATATATATATATACATAAATATATCTACACCTACACCTATAGGTATAGTTCGAAACCAATGGCAAATTGTAAAAAAAAAAAAAAAAATACAAAAAAAAAAAAACCTGACCACAATAATGATGCTTTTCGTTCAGTATAAGTACGTTGTCACCTTATATCGTGGAGTCTGTACCTATATATATATAAAAGAATCTCTGTACATATTTTATACCAAATTATACCGCACCATAGCACCACAAACAGTATTTAGGCCGATTATTATTACGTGTTTGTAATGTAATTGTTTTTGTCGTTGTTATTGTTGCTGATGTTTGTTATTGTTGTTTATTGTCATTATTATTGTTACTATTGTATGTATGCATGTGTGTTTGGTGTACATGAAGTATTATGTAGGGTTGCATTTATTTTTTATGCGGCTACAATCTGAGGTCATACATGCATCATATATACATGAAAGTAACGTGATTTCACAGTAAATCTCCAGCTTAAAGTGCACAACTTTATGATGGACGGACAGTCGAAACCGAAAGAAAAACAAAAACACACCAAACATAACGCTATATACATTGTGCGGTTAACATATATAACTGTCTTTATGCATATATACTAAGCGTATATATGTACGTTTGTATATTTGTTTGTATATTTATGTATATATGTATGTATTTTTGTATGTATGTAAAAATACAACACTCAATGTTTTACAACATAATTATTAAAAAAAAAAAAAAAAAAAAAAAAAAAAATGAAAAAAAATATTTAATTATGATTTTTTAAAGGTTGCCGTTCTTTTCTGCAAGAGATGAACAAAAGCACACCATCTACGTTATAATTATCGCTTCTGTGTTAATGGTAGGAATTTTTCCCCTAATAGCTTAATTGATAAGGTGCCAGCGGATTGATTTTTTATGTTCATGCGTGTAACATTATTAAGTAAATATTATTTTTTAAATGATTATTTTGCAAAAACAGATAAATTTTTTCTTTATTGGTTTTCATATTTTCCTTTCCTTTCCTTTCCTTTTCTTTAATTTTCTTCTTTTATATTTTCATTTTTCTATTTTTATTTTTATTTTTCATTTTAATAGTTTTATATTTTATTCAGTTTTTCTCGCCGATCATTATTTAAACTGTCAATTATCTGTGTTGGCCTTTTATGGTCACTAATCACAGCTTTAAAGTGTGTCAACTTTATTATCGGCTAATGACAGCCAAATTAATATCTATACACTTGCCGCTGTCGCCATCACATTACGGTAAAAACGTTATGCCTCACAGCAGCTTGTTATTGGCAACTATTTTTATATACCTTATTATGCTGGCTACATGAGGCCGTTAAATGTTTTACAAAACGATTACTTGTATGTATGTATATAGGCACTCTCGACTGACTTAGCTGTCATTCGTTTAAACGGTTTTTATATATATATATACATATATATATGCATGCACGTTTGTACATATTATTGCAGATATTTGACAAATTATTGGCCCATAAAATATTAAAAAAAAAAAAAAAAAAAAAACCAAGTAAATATTTTTCATCTCCAAAAATTATTTAATATTTGCAGACGTCACATTTTGGAGATACTTTTAAGTATCTCCTCCGTATCCAGTTGAAACACAGTTGAATCTGTTTCGCAAACAACACTTAACAGGTAACATTTTTTAAGATTAAACTTTGCATTAGCATTTCAATAACGTTTCGAGTTATCAAGTCGGAAGATTTGATTTACAAATTTCCATTAATTTTTCTTATCCATTGATATGAGATATATTTGCAATAAACAATTAAATGAAATAATTTTAAATATCGTGTAAAAAATCGAAAAAACAGTGGACTACGGCCAACAACTGGATACCGTATTACACTATCCTATAGCTATTCATATATAACAAATGGATCCGATCTAAATCATTTTTCTTGGCCAAATTTCATTAAAATAAAAAAAAAAAAAAGACAGACAGACAGACGGACAGATAAGCTTAGATCGGTCACAAAAAGTGATTATGTCAACTTCTTTTGGATGTTAGATACATCCGTGCAAATTTAATATACCGTTACAGCACAAGTGGCGTACGGTACAAAAAAAGGTATATAAAAAGACTTTATTCTAAGAAGAGCGAATCTAACTATACGACTTTCTCCGTTTCTACACATCACAGCAAATTTTCGATTGTTGATTTGGTGAATAGAAGAAGAAGAAGAAAATCTATTAAATTTTCTTTGAAATAAATTGCTGCAATTCATAACGGTTTCCCTTTAGCGGTATATTTCAACAATATCTAAGATGAATACTACTATGTCGGTTATCAAGTCAGTAGCCTTGGTTTTATGATAGGTACCTATGATGTTTAATAATTGCTCAGTAATCATGCTTTTAAAGAGAAAGACCTGCGCCAATTAATGTGATATATGCACACAAATACATACATATTCTCTATATTCTATGTTATATATATATATAAATTCTTTTATGAATCATGTAAGTAATATTGTCGGACAAAGAGAATTATCTTATTTTACGCTTTTTTAAAAATCTTAACATAAACTAACCAACTATTGAATGCAGTGCATGTAGTAAACAACAGTTTTATTTCAAGTACTAAAGTATGCCGTCTATGAACCCGTCTATCTTTTTTTTATTTTATTATTATTTTCTTCTTTTTTTTTTTTTTGGTTATTAAATTTTTACATAAACTGAAATGGTTCATAAATCTTTGTGCAGTTAGTTGATGTCTAC